GTGGTGGTGGTGGTGGTGGCGCGAGGCTGGTGGTGGTGGTGGTACGAGGCTGACTGGTGGTGGTGGCGTGAGGCTGGTGGTGGTGGCGTGAGGCTGGTGGTGGTGGCGTGAGGCTGGTGGTGGTGGTACGAGGCTGACTGGTGGTGGTGGTGGTAGGCTGACTGGTGGTGGTGGTGTGTGGCTGGTGGTGGTGGCACCAAGACTCGCTGTATCCACCACCTGGGGCACCTTCATCAAGGATTGTTTTCATCTTCCTCCAGTGAAGGAACAATTTTGAAATTGACCAAACATCTCGAATATAGCACTACAGAGCTCTGACTCGCCCTCACCCTCTCTCTGTGAGAGCGGACGGCATGTCTGCTTGATGGGTCGTCATTATTACGAGGACGACGACGACTGCTCCTGAGTTGTGACGATTGTCGTGACTCTGAGGTGACCTTCCTAGGCGCTGTACTGCGACAAGAGCGGCTCCTCCTCTCGCCCCATCCTGATGGACGGAGGGGGATGCACCGCGCAGTGGGTCGTGCTCGCGACGCTCTCTTGCGCCTCCGAGTGCGAGGAGACGTCGAGTGGACGTCGAGTGGGGGGGTGGGAGGGGGGCACATTTCCCGTCCATTTTTTTGTATTTATTCTCCGGCGCCACGCGAGCTCTGCGATGGCAGAGCGAGGAGACAAAATCTAAACGATCACCGCCGCACGCCCAGCTACCCGGCGGTAAAATTGGGTTTGAATTAGCAAATCCCCCCCCCCCCTGGCAGACGAAAAGAGAAAGTAAAATCAGCCAAATGGAGCGAGCGACTCGCGAGCCAGTCGCAGGACGCGGCGGCGGCGGCACTGAGGGGGGAGCGCCGGAGTGGGTGGGTGAGGGGTTAGGTGAGTGCGGGTGAGTGGGTGGGTGAGGGGTTAGGTGAGTGGGTGGGTGAGGGGTTAGGTGAGGGGTTAGGTGAGTGGGTGGGTGAGTGGGTGGATGAGGGTGAGTGGGTAGGTGAGGGTGAGTGGGTGGGTGAGGGGTTAGGTGAGGGGTTAGGTGAGGGGTTAGGTGAGGGGTTAGGTGAGTGCGGGTGAGTGGGTGGATGAGGGTGAGTGGGTGGATGAGGGTGAGTGGGTGGGTGAGGGTGAGTGGGTGGGTGAGGGTGAGTGGGTGAGTGAATGCGGGTGAGTGGGTGGGTGAGGGGTGAGGCGAGTGTGGGAGATGCGAGGCGAGTGCGGATGAGTGGGATGTGAGCGGAGCGGTGGCGCAGCTGTGAGTGCGCCGCCGCACGAACCAGTAGACCTGGTTTCTATTCACGGCCAATAACGGTGAAAGTGAATATCTGAGCCACTCGTGGGTCTCCCCTAGGTCGACTCGGCCTCAAATGAGTACTTGGTGTGGTGTGTAAATATTGCCACTGGAGACACAAAGGTGGTCTGGCGTGTTTGACGACCCCGACCCCCTTGCGTACCATGTCGGACTTCATCGGTGCTTGCTCACAGCACTTGCCCCAACAGTCTATTCATGCTATACGGAGGAGCTTTGTGAGGCGAGTGGGTGAGTTTGTGTGAGGTGGGTGAGGTGTGAGTGGGTGAGTGTGAGTGGGCGAGTGGGTGAGTGAGTGAGTGGGCGAGTGTGAGTGGATGGGTGAGTGGGCGAGTGGGTGATTTTGAGTGAGTGGGTGAGTGTGAGTGAGCACAGTGGGATGCACATCAACGGGTCTTCTCAGCCAGTCAACCCCGAGCACCTGGCTCTGTGCCGTGACCCTGCGAGCGGAGAGTCGTCCGCACTTCACGCGGCCTTAAAGTGCACCTAGCCTGGCACAAGCCCCGTGGTGACGTCACCGCCACTTGGTGGCGAACGGCGGCTGTTGATGGTGGGTATGCGAGGGCGTGTGCGTGCGAGAAACGGCGTGACGGCGTGGTGCGCGGTGTGTGCGAGCGTGCAGCTCTGTGTGTTTCCGAGGGGCGTGTATCCCACGTTATTGTTGTTGCTGCTGTTGCTGCTGTTGTTGTTGTGGTTGTAACGCGCGAGTGGGAGAGTTGTGCTCGGGTCTTTTGTGCGAGCACGCACTCCCGTGACGTGTGGTGGGTGCCAGGGTGCGGTGGGCCTGACGCAACGTGGCGCACTGGAGTTTGCTCCGCTGAGGCGAGCCCTGGTGTGTGTTGGAGTCCAGTGGAGGGTTTTCAAGAGGGCGGTGTGCCCCTCGTGCGGTGTGCCCCTCGTGCGGTGTGCCCCTCGTGCGGTGTGCCCCTCGTGCGGTGCGTCACTCGTGCGGTGCGCCCCTCGTGCGGTGCGCCCCTCGTGCGGTGCGCCCCTCGTGCGGTGTGCCCCTCGTGCGGTGTGCCCCTCGTGCGGTGTGCCCCTCGTGCGGCGTGCCCCTCGTGCGGCGTGTCACTCGTGCGGCGTGCCCTCGTGCGGCGTGCCCCTCGGGCGGCGTTCCCCTCGTGCGGCGTGCCCTCGTGCGGCGTGCCCCTCTGCGGCGTGCCCTCGTGCGGCGTGCCCCTCGTGCGGCGTGCCCCTCGTGCGCGTGCCACTCGTGCGGCGTGCCCCTCGTGCGGCTTGCCCTCGTGCGGCGTGCCCTCGTGCGGCGTGCCCTCGTGCGGTGTGCCCCTCGTGCGGTGTGCCCCTCGTGCGGTGTGCCCCTCGTGCGGTGTGTCACTCGTGCGGCGTGCCCCACGTGCGGCGTGCCCCTCGTGCGGCGTGCCCCTCGTGCGGTGTGCCCCTCGTGCGGTGTGCCCCTCGTGCGGTGTGCCCCTCGTGCGGTGTGCCCCTCGTGCGGTGTGCCCCTCGTGCGGCGTGCCCCTCGTGCGGTGTGCCCCTCGTGCGGCGTGCCCCTCGTGCGGCGTGCCCCTCGTGCGGTGTGCCCCTCGTGCGGCGTGCCCCTCGTGCGGCGTGCCCCTCGTGCGGCGTGCCCCTCGTGCGGCGTGCCCCTCGTGCGGCGTGCCCCTCGTGCGGCGTGCCCCTCGTGCGGCGTGCCCCTCGTGCGGCGTGCCCCTCGTGCGGCGTGCCCCTCGTGCGGCGTGCCCCTCGTGCGGTGTGCCCCTCGTGCGGCGTGCCCCTCGTGCGGTGTGCCCCTCGTGCGGCGTGCCCCACGTGCGGTGTGCCCCTCGTGCGGCGTGCCCCTCGTGCGGCGTGCCCCACGTGCGGTGTGCCCCTCGTGCGGTGTGCCCCTCGTGCGGTGTGCCGTGCTTGTGACAGGCCATGTTTGTGCTTCGTCTCGCAGACAAATTGCCGGCGACCCCCTTGGTTGATGGCAGGGCGAGCGTTGGGGGTCGACTGCTTTGCCATTCATTATCCTTCTCGAGAGGGAGCATAGGGGGAGGGGGACGGGCAGGAGGGGGGAGGGGGAACTCCAAAAGATCGACCTTTGACCCCCGCTCAGTGCTCCTTGCCGCAGCTTCACAAAACGCGGCAGTCACATGACCTGTATTGTCCTGGCGATGGCGTCTCCGTGGCAACTGTGGGAATGCTTTGTTCAAATGGTTTTTAAACAAATCTCTTTTGATCCCCGCGCCTCCCAGCGTATTGTGGGCTGCACTCCCCCCCCTTCCCCTTCCGTCTCCCTGGGGGCCCACCCCTAAAACATCTCCTGCGACCCTCCCAGGGCCCGCTGATCCACACCGGTTCCAATCTCGATTACGAGTTCCGCAAGAGAGCACGAGTGGTACCTATGGGAACTGCCCCCTGCGTGATATCCGATGTACCTGTGATGGTAATCGCTGTGCGACCGGATTAGTGTTGCGGCCGTTGATAGCGGTGTGGATGTTGTGTGGCGGTGCGGTGGGTGGCGTTGTTGCGTGGTGGTGCGGTGGGTGGCGTTGTTGCGTGGTGGTGCGGTGGGTGGCGTTGTTGCGTGGTGGTGCGGTGGGTGGCGTTGTTGCGTGGTGGTGCGGTGGGTGGCGTTGTTGCGTGGTGGTGTGGTGGGTGGCGTTGTTGCGTGGTGGTGCGGTGGGTGGCGTTGTTGCGTGGTGGTGCGGTGGGTGGCGTTGTTGCGTGGTGGTGCGGTGGGTGGCGTTGTTGCGTGGTGGTGCGGTGGGTGGCGTTGTTGCGTGGCGGTGCGGTGGGTGGCGTTGTTGCGTGGTGGTGCGGTGGGTGGCGTTGTTGCGTGGTGGTGCGGTGGGTGGCGTTGTTGCGTGGTGGTGTGGTGGGTGGCGTTGTTGCGTGGTGGTGCGGTGGGTGGTGGTGTAGTAGTTGTGTGGTTATCAGGCGGACCGCACTACACTGTGAGCAGCTCCCCCACGGCTGTATTGCAAACCGTGCACATGGCTGCCTCTTGGGTATTTGCTGCGATTTCATTCCTTTTCCTGTGCCGGGTCTCTGCTGCTGCTGCTCCTGCTGCATGTGGCTCGACCTAAAATGACTAACTGCACGGCCGCGCTTTGTGAGCAATGGGGAAACAAAGGCAGCCGGGCATGCGTGCAGACGCCCCCGAAATCCTCCCCCCCCCCACCTCCCTCGGTGCACGCCGAGCTGACTTTCATAGGTGCTCGATAAGGGAAGTTGCCCGCGCATTAGTCAGTCTGAAAGGGCAATCTGTGTGATTGTGTGTGTGTGTATCGGTGCGTTACGCTGGGCGCTGGGAGAGCTCCGGCCATTAATCACCAAGGTGTGCGGTGTGCACCGCGAGACAAAGATCCCCCGCGTGGTCCTTTAGCAGACTTGGGGCAAGTGCCGCTCCAGGAGCGACCGGCCTGCGAGGGCGGGCACGGCGCACGAGGGGACACGCCGTGACCGTCGCCGCACCGCCCGCGGTTTGTCCATCCTGGCGCCGACCGCTTACGGGAACTGCACCGGATAACCCGTTAAAGGCCGAGTCGACCTCGGAGAAACTCTGAAACGGTTCTGACAGTCGCTCGCTGACGTTAACCGTGCACGAAAATCGAACTCTGGTCATCACGTTCGCGGCTCGGTGCGCCAACCGCCGCGGCGCCACCGCTCCACGCCGGGTGGCGGTACCACGCGTCCGTACGCACGTACGCTCACAACCTGCCCCCCCCCCCCATCCCCACCCACCCGCGCCCGCCAGGCTCTACCGGAGCGACTACACCCTGGAGGTGAAGATCGGCGACTACGTGGAGTTCTACTGCCCGCACTACCTGGTGGGCCGCGGGGGAGCCGCCTCCCTCCCGGCGGGGGGCGAGTGGGAGAGCCACCTGATCCACCTGGTGCCGGCGGGCGGCTACAGGGCGTGCGACACCTCGCGCCCGGGCTTCAAGCGCTTCAACTGCGACCGCCCGCGCACGCCGCACGACCCCCTCAAGTACGTGGAGAAGATCCAGCTCTACACGCCCTTCTCGCTCGGAGCCGAGTTCCTGCCCGGCAGGGATTACTACTACATCTGTGAGTCCGCACTCGGGGCGACGGGGGGGGGAGACGGGGGGCACGGGGGCCTCACGGTTATAAGGGGATATGGGGGGGTGACGTGGGCATATGGAGGGAAACGGAGACATGGGGAGACGGGAGGATGTTGGGGGGCACGGGGCACACGGGCAAACGGAGACGTTTGGATACACACGGGGATACGAGGGGACGTGTATGACAACACACTGATGCACGTCTCCTTCCTGCGTATAAACGCACGACAATGACCGCTATCGAATAGTGGTCTTCCCCGGCATTGCACCGCATAGTGGCACCACACCGCGTCACCGCACCACACCGGCATTGTGTGCTGCCCGGCCTCTCCGGGGTCGCATGACCCACGCTCCTCAATCTCGGCCTCATGAGCCGACGGCCAATAGCGTCACACGTTCGCCAAGCCCGGGCCACCACGGCCCATCCCGACGCCATCCTCCGCCATACGCCGCGTGGAGTTGCCGGTGCTGAAGCTCATTAAGGGCCTCCCGCCTCCGTGCACAGCGCCGGAGCGCGGCTAACAAGGAGGCCTCCTCGCTAACGAGCAGCGGGGACCACCACCTCCCAGGTTTGATTACTTAGAGGCCTTTCACGCGTCTCGGCGCGCCCGCCCTAATTGGCCAAGTCCTGACACAGAGGCTTTCTCGGAATTTTTTTTTTCATTTGGCGGCGCTAAGCGGCATCCCGCGCTCTTCCCCGGCGGGCGGTGGATGATTAGCCCTGGAGGCGTCGGACGGTGGGGAGGGGGGGGGGGCGCGTGGGGGGGGTGATGGGGGGGCACGGCCTCCCCGCTCCACGGCTCAGAAGATCTGAGCGCACGTCGGAGCGAGTTACGCACGCCGGACGCGGCGGTTTTGTCGGCTAAACGCGCCGCGCGTCCCCGCGAGGGATCCCCTTTGTCTGCCGAGCGCTCATTATGTGCGGCGAGTGAGCGAGCGCGCCGGGGGTGCGGAGATCACAGCTCGCGCCCGCATCCCACCGTTCCCCCACCCCTCCCCGCGCTCCTCGCCAGACCTCGCGTTTGCCCCGTCGGTCGAGACGCGAAGCCTCTTAACGCGTCCCCGCGTGCGCGTTGTGTTCACAGCCGTTCTTGGAAACGGAAACTCCAAGAAGTGTTTGAGGCTGAAGGTGTCCGTCTGCTGCGCTAACGGTGAGGCCCCCACCTTCTCCACCTTCCCCGTGGCCCCGCGGCGGGGATTAACCCCGTGATTGCGCGCAGGTGGGGGACCCGCTGCGGCGCTAACGCCATCTCGGTTCGAAAGGAACCATCGGCCGAGAGCCCCCTGCGGGCACACGCTCTCTCCCCCTCTGTGCGACACCTCGCTCGCTTACTCGGTGTCACTCAAGTGCCACTGTGCGGCCAGTGAGGTGTCACTCAGCCAGGCGTCGCTCCGGCGCCAATATTCCGCACGCGAAAGGGCGCAGCGCTCGCCGTAGATTTGACACTCACGATCGTCGCTCGCCAAGGGTGCGTCGCTCACCAAGGGTGCGTCGCTCACCAAGGGTGCGTCGCTCACCAAGGGTGCATCGCTCGGGGTCACTGGCGAGAGGCACGAGAGAGCCCTGCAGAACGGCGCTGCTGCTGCTGACCCCCCGTGCAGGAGGCACTAGGCCGCATGCACCTGTGGTCTAGCAGTAGATGGAGAATGGTGGTTACTGATGTGTGCTTGTTTGCACGTGTGTAAAGTGCGTGCGCATGTTACAGTAGGAACAGCACGCGCACGCGCACTGCTCACAAACATCAGAAAGGCGTGACTCCCATCATGCCTTGCATGCAATGTCATGTGACCACCGCATTGCACTTACAATTCTGCCAGCCAATGGGTGCCCTGCTGCTGTTTGCGGGCAGCAAGGCACCTTGCGTGTGTCCAACCTGCACGAATCTCGCCGCTCTGATGATCTCGTCACTCACGGAGTGTTGCGTATGAACTGTGTGTGATTGTGCGTGAGCGTTTGCCTGTATGTACGTGCGCACATGCAAGTATGTGTGTGCATAAATGGGTATGTGTGGGTGTGAGTGCGTGCAGTGCGGGAAGCGGCGGTGCAGTAGTTTTCGCACCGCGCTACAAACCCGGAAACCCGAGTTCGATTCCAGCTCGCAACCAATAACAGTGGTGAATATGTTAATCGGCCCTGGGCCGCCTCTAGGTAGACTCGGCCTGAACACATGAGTTGTGGTGTGTGTAAACATCAGCACGGCCAGGCGTGTTGGTTTACCACCCACACCCTCGTGCGGCGATGCCGGCCTGCATAGATGCCGCTTGTTAATAAGCACTTTGCCTAAGAGTATGTTAAAGGCTACACGGGGGACCTTTGCGTGCGTGTCTGCGTGTGGGTGTTGTGGCCGGGTTCTCTCTTTATTAGTGCAGTCGGGGAGTGCATTGCTCTTCTGCATTGACGTTCACTCCATTGTGTCTGTGTGTTTCCGCTCTAGACACGAGCAGATTCGTGCCTGATTTGTTTAATCGTGATTCTGTCACTGAAGGTAATCAAACAGGTCAGTGTGTGTGCGTGTGCGAGCGTGTGCGTGTGAGCCAGTGTGCGTGCGAGCGCACGTCATCTTTGATTTGTGCTTTTCACAACACGCTACAACAGCATGCCTCCCATTTGTGCGCGTCCATGTGCTTGTACGCGTCTGTGTGCGTGCGTGTGGGCGCGGGTGCGTGTACGTCCCTGCCTCTGTGTGCATGCGGGAAGCCGGGCGCTTGGCGCTGCATTTGTATCCGAGGTGGTGGTGGTGCTGCTGCTGCTAACGATGTGTGGCGAGGTGAGCATTGACGTCACTAACGACGTCACTAACGATGTGTGGTGAGGTGAGCGTTGACGTCACTAACGATGTGTGGCGAGGTGAGCGTTGACGTCACTAACGATGTGTGGCGAGGTGAGCGTTGACGTCACTAACGACGTCACTAACGATGTGTGGCGAGGTGAGCGTTGACGTCACTAACGATGTGTGGCGAGGTGAGCGTTGACGTCACTAACGATGTGTGGCGAGGTGAGCGTTGACGTCACTAACGATGTGTGGCGAGGTGAGCGCGCGAGGCGTCTTGCTTCACTAATGCTGCCGGGCGACGACGCGAGCGCTGGGTCGGGGCTCGCACCGCCGAGCGACGCCGCGCCCGACGGCCGTGCGTCTAACGTGCGTCTACCGTGCCGACGAGGTGCTCGTTTAACGGGGTCCACGACGAGGCGCGTGTCTAACGAGGCGCGTGTCTCCGTGTCTCCGCGTCTCTGCGTCCTCAGCGGAGGGAGGCAAGGAGTCCCGGCAGGCGACGGCGCAGGCTTCGCGCAGCGTGAGCGGAGGGGGGCCCCGACTGCTCTGCCTCTCGCAGCTGCTGGTGACCACGGCCGCCCTGCTCTTCCTGACCGTCTGAGCGAGCCCCGACCCCCTCCCCACCCCCCCCTCGCGCCCTCCGGGGGCCACGGGGAGTGACCCCCGACGGGCAGCGGCGGCGCCCTGACGACCCCCGCCGTGGGGCGAGGGCGTCGACGATGGCTCCCTCGAGCCCGGCGCTCCGGCAGCACCGCCGCTCGCCCCCACGGAGCCCGGTGTCGTCCCTCCCCTCGACGGAATGTCAAGACAATTTTTTTTATTAACATCGTCTCCATCGTTATCGTTGTTGTCGCGATTACATCTTAATGCTGACGCAAGCGATCAAGGGCTGTCGCGCGAGGACGCTTTGAAGGCCGCTCTTTTCTCCCCGCGCTTCAAAGGGAACCTCAGAAGTTTCACGGCGAAAGCTGCGATGGCGAGCGGCGACTTTAAATCACCAGCGTTTGCGAGCGCCCGTTTCCCCCGTGGGACCCGGGCTTGCCGTGGGCGGCGGAGCCCTTGATCTGCCGACCACCGTCCGCCGTTTCACCGCTCCCCCGGGCGGAGGGCTGACCCGGCAGCCCGACCGCTGCTCCGGCGGGCGCAGACGGCAAGGGAGGTGGGGGAGGGGAGCAGAGGATATTGGCCATAGAGAAGAGGAGGAAGGGGAGGAGTGATGGGGATGTCATTCTGAGCGAAGATGCAGAACAATCGTCCACAGTTTACTGAACGATACTTTTTGGAAAATGAGCCATTTATACGTTGCCTCAATCCCAAAGGCCATCACGAAAAAGAAAATGAGATAGATAGATATATATTCACAACAAGATTATACAAATTTTGCTCGCAAAGATTTTTACACCAAATATTTTAACCCCGTTACCGCAGAGGCGTTTGTATTGTAGCGGTGCCGCACGGAGCGGCGTCGAGCCCAGCGGCACCGTACGGTGCCAGCGCCACGGCCGGCGCACCGCACGGTGCCAGCACTACCGCCATTCTCCGCGTCGCGAGCGGCGGCGCTCGCCACGGTGCCAGCGGCTCCACGGACTCTACGGACTCCACGCAGACTCGGCACGCAGACGCTGCACGGACTCCACGCAGACTCGGCGTGGTGCCGTCGGCGCGGCACCACCGCTCGCCGCAGCCCGAGGGGGACCCCGCAAACTGAGAGGCCGAGTTGGGGGAGTGGAGCGACTCCGGGACGAGCTCGGCTCCGTCTCCACACGGACGCTCCACCTCGTCGGAGTCGCCGCTCCTGTGGGAGCGGGGGGTGGCGGGGGTGCCTGGTGACGACACTGAGAGGATTCTGCACTGTCACACGCCTTGAAATCCGCAGGACGTTGCCTGTAGAACATGGACGCTCGCCGCCGGTTTCTCCAAGAAGGACGGGGCCTGTTTGGCCACGGACTATGTTGTGGGTGGGAAACGGGGGGGCCTGGTTGATGGGGAGGGGTCCTGGGGTGGGGGGGGCCTGCCTCCTGGGGTCACGTGACTGAGGGAGCATAATGGCCGACAATCGCGTGCGGGTATTTGCGGACTGCGTGTGCATCGGGGGTCTGGGTGGCTGGCTCGCACGAAGCACACCGATTTGTAAGCAGCGCACCACGTCCAGAGCACACCCACAGTTCACACGGGGCCACTGGCAATGACTGCAGGGGGCGGTGCTGCCACAATGGTGCCATGGCTCGCAGCAGCAGCAGCAGGGCCACTGGGCTTGCAACCCAGAGGCATGAAATTTTACTTGATCTCTCACCACGGCGGTTGAAACCCCTCCGCGTGCAGTGGCGGCAGCGATGAACTGCGGTGCTGCAGCGAGGGCGCCGAGGGCACGCCATGGCATGCACAGCCCAGCGCACACTCGGCCACAGAGCACACAAGACGCACGGACCGCGCACACCCCGCACACCACATCACACCGGGTCGCGTACGACGCGTTATGCACAACCCGCAGCGCGCATATCTGTGCGTGCGTTTCCGTGTATGTACGTGTACGTGTGTAAGTGTCTACGTGTCTACATGTCTACGTGCGTGTGTACGTTCACTCCCTTTTGTAAAGCCCCCCCCCCCACCACCGTGCAGAACCCAATCGTGTTTCTTAAAAATAAACTCCAAATGCTGACCACTAGTACCGTGCCAAGCAGGGTCGTGAGGCGCGTGGGCCTCGGGGTGTACCCGTGTGTCCGAGTGGGCAAATGTCTGTATGTCGAAGTCTGTGTGTGTATGTCGAGGTTTGGGTGGGTGTGTGTGTGTTGCCTATGTGGGTCTGTCAGTCTGCTACAGCAGAGGTGTAGAGAATTCCCATAAGACCTACGGTCTGTGCTTTATTTACCAGGTCAAGGCCTATGATACCATGGATAGGCCAGGGCTCTGGGTTATTCTTTGTGCTTTCGCGGTCCCTGACCCTCTGCTCACAATCATTTAAGGGCCTTCGTGGTCATGGCCAAGCTCGGGTAAACCTGTGTGGGCGGGAGCCAGAGCCATTCCCTGTTCACCTTGGGGTACACAGGGATGTCCCCTGGCCCCCACACGATTTAACATTCTTTGACCACGTAGTACGAGACGTTGTCCATGGCTGTACCGGAGGAATTTCCACCTGGCACATATACAATGGGTGGCTGATCGATGCGGTCAAGGGATAGCTTTCTCTTGGTCAGCAATGTATGCATGCTGATGATCTGGTAATTACTGTTCACTCCTGAGAAGAGGTTGGAGCCGTTACTGCTAAACCTTAAGGATGCTGCTATGAAATGGGGCCTTACCATCAGCCCCACAAAAACAAAGGACTTTCCTGGGCGTTTTATGTTCCCCAAACACTCCACCCCCTCAACTTCCCATGAGTGATGGGCCGTTTGTGAAGAGAGTGGAGACGTTTCCGTACCTGGGCAGTGTTTATGACCATTCGCTGTGTAACGCTGTGTGAGAGCTAATCTGGCCTATCGCTCCATACGAAGCTCAGGGTCTTTTCGTCCGCTGTTGGGTCCTCCCTTCTCTATGCTTGCGAAACGTAGAGCTCTTTAAAATAACATCTGCACCGGAATTAAACATTCAGACTAGCCTGCCTACGATCCATCTTGGGTTTTGCCAGACTGGACCGTTTGAGTAGCTCACAGATCGTTGAGGAATCTGGACACAGTCACACAATTGAGCTGCGTTGGCTGGGTCATGTAGCCCGCAAGCCCAGTCCACCGCATGCCCAGCCCACCGCATGCCCAGCCAGCTTCTGCTTGGCCAGATAGAGGAGGCTAAATTGGCGCGGCACGGGCTAGGGAAGAGATGGACTGATGTGGTACAGAATTATTTATGGCCGAGTGGATTTTCTGTTGACTGGTGAGTGGTTTCAAGATCGGCCTCTGTGGAGGAGGTTCACGAAGGACGCTACTGAGCAATTGGAGGCAGTCGGCCTCCAGCAACAGCGGTGCGCAGAGGAATGACGCTCGCAACAACGAGCGGAGCGCCGGGCAGCTGGACGCAGAGATTGAGTACAGCGAGGAGCCCAGGTGGTGAATCTGCCAGTCATCTCGGCCAGTCATGGCACCTGCCTCTCTCCCGTGACCTGCCAGCGAGCCTTCAACACTTCACGTGCACTCAGCCTGACACAAGTGCCGTGGCAATGTCACCACGAAATCTGTGAATGTAGAGGTCTATTTGCGTGTATGTCTTTGTTGTGTATGTCTGTGCATGTCTGTGTATATATGAAAACGCCTTAAAGAAAGTGCCTGGTGCGGTGTGTAAATATCAGCACTGGGGTGAGACGCAAGAGGCCGCGTGTCCTGGTTGGCCTTCGTCGGTGCTCGCTCGCAGCACTTGCCTTGCTCCAACAGTCTCTTCAAGGCTATAGGGGGGATCTTTGTCTTTGTGTCAGTATTCTGGCACAGACCCCACCCCACTTACCCCCCCCCCTTCCACCGCCCCCCACACTCGCAGACGCCACAAGATGATGAAGAAGGGGAACTCTCATCCATCGCGTCTGCTGCTTAAATAAACTATCAGCGCCGCGTTATCCGGCCTCGCAGCGCGCACCGCGAGCATCCATTACCTGCGGCAGCTGGGGAGGGGGGGGGGGCACAGGTGAGCGGGGGCACGCACCCCATTCATCACGCACGTGCCCCCCCCTCCCCGTTATTTATTGTTTAATTATCAGTTGGAGGGGGAGAAAGCGAGAGCGATTCCTCCCGCGTGATTCACGAATAAAAGTGCCGGGCAGCGCGCTGCACATGTCCGTGTTGTTATGTTTGTAATTAATGTGGGAGTGGGGGGGGGGGGGGCTGTGGGGGTAATGGGTGGGTGGGGGGGAGAGCGTGGGGGGCGCCGACTCGTTGGGTTCGCGAGAACGTTGGGAACGCAGGCTCGCGAGCATCACGAGGGGGGTGGCTGGGATCAGCGGGGCTGTTCGAGCCTCCGAGTCGTTATGATCGGGGGGGGGGGGCAGCCTCTCGAGACAGGGGGGCTACTCCGCACCCGCTCTGCCCTGCCCCCACTCTCGCCCCCCACTAATTATCCGGGTTAATTGCTCGCGTTAATGGCGCGGCGGAGCCAAGCGCTGACAAAGACCCTTGCGCTCACATGAGTGGAGCGCCATGTCTGGGCTGGGAGGCTGGGGGCTGGGGGGGTGGGGGCTGGGGGGCGGGGGGCTGGGGGGGTGGGGGCTGGGGGGCGGGGGGCTGGGGGGGTGGGGGCTGGGGGGCGGGGGGCTGGGCGGGAGGCGCCGGGGATTTTCTTTCAATCCACCCAGAAACACCGGACGGAGTCTCAAGACTTTTTCCCCGGAGGGTCCTGCTCCACTGGGATGGTTGGACAATGTGCGTGTGAACCCCGAGACAACCCCTGCCGCACCCGCACGAGGGGGTCGTGTCCGCACAGCCTCGCTCACCGACCCACTTGCTGTACTGCTGCCGTCTCCTGCACGTGACACGTCGCAGACACACGTGTTTGGGAGTCTCGCACATCTCTGTGTGATCCGACAACCCTCGCCTCCACAACGCCACGAGCTGAGTTGAGATGGAGACGAGGGGGGGGGGGGATGGGGCGGGGGGAGGAAGACGGAGGCGGGGGGGGGGCAATGCAGAGTGCGTGATGGAGAGGGGCGAGGGAGGATGTAGATGGGGAAAGAGATAAAAGGAGGTGGGGGGAGGGAGGGAGGCGGGGGAGTGGTCGCTAATGCATGGCGTGGCCGCCTTTGTCTTCCGTCCCGCAGAGCGCGGGGCCCGGGGGAGCCGAACCCCCACGGCTCCCTCCGCGGGATGTCGACGTGAGGATGGCGAGCACGCTCAGGAACACGGAGGAGGAGGAAAGGGATGAGAATACAGACGTAGTGTGGTGGTGGTGTGTGATGGTGGTGTGTGATGGTGTGTGATGGTGGTGTGTGATGGTGTGTAGTGGTGTGTGGTGGTGTGTGATGGTGGTGTGTAATGGTGGTGGTGGTGGTGTGTGTGTGGTGGTGGTGTGTGGTGGTGTGTGTGGTGGTGTGTGGTGGTGGTGGTGTGTAGTGGTGGTGGTGTGTAGTGGTGGTGTGTGGTGGTGGTGTGTGGTGGTGGTGTGTGATGGTGTGTGAGTGGTGTGTGGTGGTGTGTGATGGTGTGTGGTGGTGTGTGGTGGTGTGTGATGGTGGTGTGTGATGGTGTGTGAGTGGTGTATGGTGGTGTGTGATGGTGGTGTGTGATGGTGTGTGAGTGGTGTGTGGTGGTGTGTGATGGTGGTTTGTGATGGTGTGTAGTGGTGTGTGGTGATGTGTGATGGTGTGTGATGGTGTGTGATGGTGGTGTGTGGTGGTGTGTGATGGTGTGTGATGGTGTGTGAGTGGTGTGTGGTGGTGTGTGATGGTGTGTGATGGTGTGTGGTGGTGTGTGGTGGTGTGTGATGGTGGTGTGTGATGGTGTGTGAGTGGTGTATGGTGGTGTGTGATGGTGGTGTGTGATGGTGTGTGAGTGGTGTGTGGTGGTGTGTGATGGTGGTTTGTGATGGTGTGTAGTGGTGTGTGGTGGTGTGTGATGGTGTGTGATGGTGTGTGATGGTGGTGTGTGGTGGTGTGTGATGGTGTGTGAAGGTGGTGTGTGGTGGTGTGTGATGGTGTGTGAAGGTGTGTGATGCTGTGTGAGTGGTGTGTGATGGTGGTGTGTGATGGGGTGTGATGGTGTGTGATGGTGTGTGAAGGTGTGTGATGGTGTGTGATGGTGTGTGAGTGGTGTGTGATGTGTGATGGTGGTGTGTTGTGGTGTGTGATGGAGGTGTGTGATGGTGGTGTGTGATGGTGTGGTGGTGTGATGGTGGGGTGTGTGGTGTGTGTGTGTGGTGTGTGATGGTGTGTGGTGGTGTGTGAGTGGTGTGTGAGTGGTGTGTGAAGGTGTGTGGTGGTGTGTGGTGGTGTGTGGTGGTGTGTGATGGGGTGATGGTGGTGTGTGATGGTGTGATGGTGTGATGGTGTGATGGTGTGTGATGGTGGTGTGTGTGGTGTGTGATGGTGTATGATGGTGTGATGGTGTTGTGTGTGGTGTGTGATGGTGGTTGGTGGTGGTGTGTGATGGTGTGTGTGTGGTGTGTGATGGTGTGTGGTGGTGTGTGAGTGGTGTGTGAGTGGTGTGTGATGGTGGTGTGTGATGGTGTGTGAAGGTGTGTGGTGGTGTGGGATGGTGGTGTGTGATGGTGCGTGATGGTGGTGTGTGGTGGTGTGTGTGGTGTGTGATGGTGTGTGATGGTGGTGTGTGATGGTGTGATGGTGTGTGATGGTGGTGTGTGTGGTGTGTGTGGTGTGTGATGGTGTGTGATGGTGTGTGATGGTGTGATGGTGGTGTGTGATGGGGTGATGATGTGTGATGGTGTGTGATGGTGGTGTGTGATGGTGTGTGAAAGTGGTTGGTTGTGGTGTGTGATGGTGTGTGAAGGTGTGTGATGGTGTGTGATGGGGTGATGGTGGTGTGTGATGGTGTGATGGTGTGTGATGGTGGTGTGTGTGGTGTGTGATGGTGTGTGATGGTGTGTGATGGTGTGTGATGGTGTGATGGTGGTGTGTGATGGGGTGATGATGTGTGATGGTGTGTGATGGTGGTGTGTGTGGTGTGTGTGGTGTGTGATGGTGTGTGATGGTGTGTGATGGTGTGATGGTGGTGTGTGATGGGGTGATGATGTGTG